AAAAACGAAAAAAAAAAAAAAAAAAACCAACTTTCCCCGTAATACTATAATAATGACAATGAAAAAAAAGGCCTGAAAGGGCTCTCCTGTCCAGATTCGACAGGTATTAATTGAATTGGTTGGGCTTAAAAGGATTAGCTGGCCCCGAGGCCTCCAACCCTTCTCTGAGTCCGTGAGGTGGAGCCCCTCCTCCCCTCCCCTGTATGTAGCAAAGAGCCTGAGCTCATCAATGTGCGAAAAGGCAAGGAATTTGAAGCAAACACTGCCAAGCAGTAAATGGGCCTCGCTCCACCACACTCGAGATGCACAAAAGACAACAATCATGGCGCTGTGTCTTTCCATCTTCTAGCGGAAGATGATGCACACTGGCTTCGCACATTAAGTTGGATCCATTGCTATTCATGGGGGATGCATCTTGCCCGTCTCTGCCGGAAGATGCATTCGTTCCTTCTTTTTTCGTTTTTTATTTTTTATTTTTTTATTTTATTTTATTTTATTTTTTTTAATTGATCCCTGATTGTTATTCCCAAACTTTCCCTTACAGGAGGCCGGGGACCTCACAATTCAACCCGGAGTTATCCCGTCAGCAAAAGCCGGTTTTGCTTATAGACTTTGTTACTGATCCTGATCGACGTAAAATTCTTTTTTCGGTTCGACAGTGCTGTTTTGCCAATGTTTAAACATCCAAAATGTTTTCTTTTCTTTTTTCTTTTCTTTTTTCCCAAAGGGTTTTTACTTATTTTTATTTATTTTTAAAGGGGTTTTCTGACTCCTCGGAGGAGGAGGATGCTACCGATGGAACTTCATGGAAGTGCTCAGGCTAGGGGCCTCGCTGCACTACTCTCGAAATGTGCAAACGCTAGAATATGGAAAGATTCACCGCCATGATTCTTTTTTGTCTTTTGTGCATGTCGAGAGTAGTGCAGCGAGGCCCTAGGTGTCATCGCACACACACAAGCATATCCTCCTTGTCCGTTTTTTTTTGTTTTTCTCTTTGTAAATTGGGCTATTTCTCGATTAATGCGTGTCATCCTTGCGCAGGCGCAGTGTGCTGATCTCCTCTGAGGCGTTTTTTTCCGGGCATAGTACTCACACTAGGACTTTTCCGCCAACGCCCTGGACGTGGATTGCCGTCAGATTCGTTCACGTCCGCAATTGCCGCCAGATGCATTCTGGAAACTCCATGCGTGAGTATGCCCTCATTCTCTAGACTGCAAAACCGTGGGCTGATTCCCAAGCAAAAAAAAAAAAAAAAAAAAAAAAAGAACACCAGAAATTCACCTCCTGAGTCCTCACCCTCTGGGGGTCCTTTCTGCCGCCAAATTCGGCATTTTATATTATTATTATTAATATATATTTTTTTAACACGTGTCTTCATATTGCTGGGAATCGTGCCCCGCGTCCCTCACATAAATGGCTCGGAGCATTACCCAGTTTCGCTTCAAATGAATCAAAATCCGGCATTTTTTTTTGTTTTTTTTGTTGAAAATCCGGCATTTTCCCGCGCCGTATTGTCACAATCGTGAGTAGCATTCCATTTTTTTTCTTTTTTGTTCTTCTTTTTTCTTTTCAGAAGTCTTTTCCGCATTTTCGGAAAGCTTTCCCCGAATCCCCC